CCCTGGGACGGGGTCTCTGCCACCATCCCTCCCGCTGGCACCGCTGCCGGCAGCGGGAACGCTGCCTCACCCCCAGCAGCAGAGCTGCTGACTTTCCAGAACTCGACCAAGCTTCTCCCACCCTGCCAGCCCCGCCAAGCCCTGGAGGGATCCGGCACCCATCCCGGCTCGCGCCGCCTCTGCGCGGTGTCCGGCTCCACGCCGCAGAGACGTGCCAGTCCCAAACACTGTTCTGCTGCCCTCAGGGCCTGGCTGCCCGGCTCTGCTCCAGCATCCCCTGCCCACCCCGAGCCCCTGCAGGCAGGGAGCAGGCAGGGAGCAGGCCCGCTCAGGGCAGCCGCTGACCCACGCAAGTTTGCATCTTGGGGATGCAAAATAGCTGCGGGCATCCCTGGATCCCCATCCCCGTGTCCCTTCTCCAAGGGATGCCCAGCACAGCACGGCACCACGGGGCCCCTGCTTAGGCGCTTTCCTCCCAAATTGTGATGAATCTATTTACACTGAAGCTTTACAAATGTGTGTCAGGGACGCATGCATCTCAATAAATGTGCTCTAATTAACAACTGATATTTATTCAGCCCACAGTAAATAAGCTGTCGCGAGCAAACGAAGCGACGCCGCTTTTGAAGAGCGGCTCGACTCTGCCATTTATCCAGCCGACAGCCCCCGAGATGCGGTGACAGAGCGCTCGATTCTCCTGCGAGTTGCCTACTGTAGTAATTAAGGGTAATTAAAGCAAGTGGGTATGAAATACAATGAAACTTTAATAATTGCTGTTTGTTGGACAATTATTCACCTCGAGTTACTCTTTGTTTGTGGCCACCCAGCAGCAATGAACCCCATGCATGAGCACGAGTGGTGTTTGTGCATCTCGTGGGTTGGGGGCCCCACACCCCACCCCGCAGCAGAGCAGGGACGAAGGGCAGCCTCATCCCTTCCTCTCAAGCCAGATCCCTTGCTAACACCAACTCCGCCAGCAGCTCCCAGGGCCCTCAAAACCAGCTGTGAATCACTTCTGGGGGTTGCACCTATCCCTCCTGCTGCGCTTCCCGTGCCTCAGTTTCCCTCGTTTGCCAGGGTGCTCCCCTGGGTAGGTTGTCCCCAATCTGGTGACACGAAGGGACCTCGCCAGCCCCAGGAGCATGGGAACGGCTGTGGTGTGGAAACGTCGGCTCCTGCTTCCCCTTGCCATGCCAGCGCACGGGATCAGTGTCTCGGGGTGGGGGGGAAGAGGCCGGATTCTGCTTCCCCAGCACTCTGCTAAGCTGGGGGAGCAGTTTGTCTCCAGCCCGTGCCGGCATCCCCTGGAGTGATGCCGAGCTGGGGGATGGAAAGCAGGATCCTGTGGCCCCTGCCCACCAACCCGGCACGGAAAAAGCGGAGGCAAGTTGCTCTTCCAAGAAACAGCCGCGCCGGCTGCCAAGAAACATAAGTCAGAGCAGAGCCCGGCAATTTTGGGGCTGGAGACATTCTGCCTCCGACCCCGAGCGTCATGCGGCAGCTGCAGCGATTGCATTACCGCAGGCTCCCAGCCTCCTGTGCCGAGCTCAGCCCCGGTGCTGCCGGCATGGCCCCCCCAGGACCCCCCCCACTACTGGGGGGGGAGGGCTGGGGTAACGCCGGCCGGATCCTGCCAGCTCACAGGCACGCTGGCCCGGGCAGCGCATGGGAGGGAATTCCTGTGGCAAGGATTTCGGCAGTTCAGCATTTATTTCTGCACCGATTTGGGCACAAACTCCCCAATTCCAGCGTTCGCCGGGAAGGAAAGAGCCTCCGGGGATTCTTTCCAGCTTGACGGGGCCCGTTTGTTTCCGCAGAGTTAGAACAGCAGTTTTGCCTCTTTTGGAGGAAATACTTTGTTGAAGAGCGAAGGGAGAAGCGGCTGGGGAGCCAAGCGGCAGAGCTCGCCGTCCCCCCACGCCGCCGCGGCCCGCGCAGCCTCAGAGCGCTTTCTCCATCGTTTCCACCCCCCAAACCAAACATTTTTGGCACGGGGCTGGGGGGGCAGCTTGGCTCAGATGGAAGCCGCAGATGGAAAATGGCTCCAGAGCTCTCCAGCCTGCTCGGGCTCACCCAGTCCCCCCCCCCGGTCACTGCCCAGACCCACAGGATTGGGGGCTGGCCCCCCCGTCCCCCCCCACGCTGGAGCACGCTGCAAGCCCGCGCCTCTCGCCCGGGCTCCGTTCCCTCACCGCATATGGCGTCTCCATGAGTAATAAAAGCTGCTAATTGCCAACAGATGCCCCAGGAAACCCTGACGCTGCCTCTCGCGGCTGCGTTTGGCTGGGAAGGGAAAGGAAGGGAGCCGGAGCCGGCCCCGGATCCCCCGAAGCGTGGAGCGGGAGGATCCCAGTGCGTGGCGGCTCCCAGCAACTGGAGCGAGAGGACGCGGTTGCTATTATTAGCAAAATTAGCAGCCAGGCCAAGGCAGCGGGCGAACATCCCCCAGGGAGGGGCCGGTGCCCCCGACCCACGGCATCGCCCCTAGAGCACTGCCCACCCTCCCACCCCACACCCTCCGTGGGGCTGGGGAGCCGTGGCTGAGCCCCACCGCAGACCCTCGCCGGGCTCTACCACCCACCCACAGCCTCTCCTGCAGTCCTGTGTCCCCCCACCTCGGTGGGGGCAGCCGAAGCCCCCACGCTCAGGCCCGGGCCCCCTCCCTGTGCCGTGGCTCCAGCATCTGTTGCACAACTGGAGTTGGCGCCAGCCCAGTGTCGGCAAATCTGGGGGTAGGAGACGGCTGTGCCGGGCCCGGGACCCCCCCGTCTCCCTTTTCTGTTTTGTTTGAGGAGGTTTTAATGTGTGTGGGGGGGAAGAATTTGGCCCCTTCCGTAGCCTCCTCCAAGGGCGGTTGCCCCCTCCCCACTCCCATCGCTGTGCTGCAGCCCCCAGCCCACTTCCTCCCGTGCCCCAAACCCGAGCTGGGCAGCGCTGGGATGAACTGGGTAATGCAATTAGTGCTTCAGCCTTAACTGGACTGCCTGGGGGGCCAGGGAGAGACACCCCCCCAGGGGCCACATCCTGCCCTGGTGCCCCAGCACAGCTGCATTGGGACTGGGAGCAGCATCTCCTGTCCTGTCCCATGGGGACCCATGCCAGTGGGAACCAGTGAACTTCTGGAGAGACCCTGGGAGACCGAGGGAGCCGGTGGGAAACAGCAGGGCTGGCGCTGCCAGGCACGGGCAGAGCGGCAGGAGCGGGAAGGGGATCGCCACGTGGCCCAGGACCTTCCCGCACCCATTTTTGGCTCCCACGGGGGTCCCCTCTCCCATGGGCACAAGCACGGCTCATCCCTGGCGAGGGACCCCCCCAAGTGAGGGTGCTCGGTCCCTCCCGGCCGTGCCGGCAACGCTGATTGAGTTGTTTGGAGTGCTGGCAGCTCCACGCGCTCCGGAGGCAGGTTCGGTTAATGACGCTCCCCTTTAGCCTGCCTAATTTCATGCCTCATCTCGCAATTGCGTCTCTGCGGCCCCGGGCCTGTGCTGGCGAGGACTAATTGATGCTGCGGCAGAGGAAAGCGTAGCTGCCCGGGGGCGGTGGGGGCTGGCAGTGGCCCTGACCCCCAGCACCCAGGGGGTTTGGGGGTCCCTGGGGCTTGAAGGGTGCTGAACACCCCGCACAGCACCGCAGCGCAGACAAGGAGCAAACCAGCACCTTGGAGGCCACTGGTCCAAACTGGACAACATCCTTTGCCCGGAGGTTTTGGTAGTGGTGGCATCTCCCGGGAGCAGGGGGTCGCTGCCAGCCCCATGGCCCCCACCAGCTTCATCCCTGCAGGAAAGTCACCTGCCTGAAATGGGAGCGCTGGAGGGTGCTGCCAGCTCGCCCGCAGCCCGTGCCGAGCCTGTCCTCGCTGAAAAGAGACCTCGGGGAAGCTCTGGCGGCTTCTCCCAGAGAGAAGCAATAGCCATGACCAGGGCACGCTTCCCACCGCCACAGCGGCCACATAGCCCTCCCCGGCGCATTACGGCACACCACGGCGGGAGGGTTTCGGTGCCCATGGTCTGGCCAACTGCCTGGGCACCTGATCCATGCCACGGATTAGCACCTCGCACGGCTCTCGTCAGTCCCCCGAGGTGCTGAGAGCTACGATGTCCTCTCCTCCAGCACTGCCCTGCCCCAAGCTCGACTCCTGCCCCTGCTCTCCCAACACGGCTCCTGGTCCGGCACGAGCCCGGCGTTCACGGCCACGGCTGCTGGCCCCCCTGCCAGCCCCCCCCGCCCCAGTGCCCCGTCCCCGGAGTCACCCACGCCGGTGCGGTGGGCAGCACACCCGCATTGCAACGCCCAGCTCCGGCTGCGCTGATGCCAGGGTTGCTCCGGCAGCGCGAGGCACCCCACGTTACATGCCTCTGCAGATTGCACGGTAATTGCTTCCGAAGTTACTAATTTGCTCATAGATTAATTACCATGTAATTTACTGCTCTTGGCTCCTGCGATAAGACGCTCATTTGCAAGGCAGAGCGTGGGCACAGGCTCAGCCCTGGCCAGCAGGATCCTGCGGGCTCCGGGCAGGGACACAGACGGAGCAGGGAGGGGGCCAAGGGGGGGGGAAACAGACAGCCTGGGGGTCCCCAATGGGTGACAGCCCCCCCCCCCCATTCCCTGGCCGGACCCCCGACATGAAGCACGAGGCGGCGGCCGCGGCCCCACGGCGCCACAGAG